TAAAGGTCCATTTGTATTTATTTAATTGCTTTGAAAATATTTTATTTTATAATTTAGAAACTTTAAGGCATATTTTTTTATAAAAGAAAGTTTTAAAATCAATGGAATTTTAAAGGAAGTCAAATGACTAGTTTGAATAGGAGAAAGGATCATTAAGGGTAGAAAAGGAATTTATTGTTAGGAGGGTTTTGAGAGGGGGTATGAATACCCATCTTATGAGAAAATTAGATCTTGCCCAATATGGAGAATATCCAAAGGTAAACTCTCTCTCTCTCCTCTTATTTTCTCTTCCTTAATTTTTCCCCCTCCCCTTTTATTTTCCACATCACACGCACACACACATGGTGGTCGGCCGCCACCACCACTTCCCACCGGCCGGCCACTGCCGCAAGCAACAACCGACAGCAGCAGCCGCCGGCGTGGAGGGCGGTAGCAGCCCCGTCTCGTCGTGCGACTGTGTGTGTTTAAAAAAAAAAACTCTTCTTTGTTTTAAATTTAATCTAGCCTTGATTTAATTATTATTTTTGGGTTGTGTGATGATTTTCATGATGTTTGATTATGATTATTATGTATATAATTCCCATATTTAGTTTTTGAATTAAAAAGCCCCAAATTGAAAACCCTAGGTTTCTAAATTAATGTATATTGATGGAAATTGATTGTAGTTGGTTGGAATTATTGAAATAGGTGTCTCTAAACATAATTACAGCAATTATACTTTTTTTATAAAGCTGGAATTTTTATATAAAGGTTATAATTATGTTTCTTGAAATGATTTTTAATTACCCATTAATTGGAATAAAAGTAGGGGTTTTAAATTAATTTTCAGCTTGTTTTAGAGGGTTTATAAGTGATTTAAAGAGTGTATATATTGTTGGAAATTTATATTGAATAGGTATTAATATCTCTTTGTAATTTTGGGTTGTAGGAGATTTCCAAGTGAGTGATTTCGTGTAGTGACGATTTTGAGATCATATTCTAGGTACATTCGCGTATTCGGTAATTATTTAAGTGTATAGAAGCATGCTAGACTTTGTTTAATTAATTCCGAGATAGTATCATGATAGGTGTTGGTTGGAATTGTTGATTGGATTGATGTTGGTGATTGGTATATGAAGTATGAATTATTTGTGGTGAATTAATGATTGGAATTAATTATATTAGCATGTTGAATATGAACCACACTTTTATTATTGGCATGATTGGGAGCATGTTTATTTAAACTAAATGTTTAATTTGGTTTGGAATATAAAAAGGGAATTTTATGATGGTTCGTATAATTCTATTGATGCTTTAAGCATGGGAAATAAGCTATTAAGTGTCTTAGTCCACAGGAATGAAATGTATTGTGCCTAAGTGCACTTAAGGTGTTCTAAACACCGAGGGATAGGATTTGCGGTGTTTTATGCGCTTAAGGTGTTATTTAACGCCGAGGTAGTTTAAAAAGGGTTCAACATTAAATTTATGTGGTCACTAATTATTCAAGAATTAAATTGGTGTGTTCGATTGCTTGAATAATTTATTTTGATTGATTGTATTATGGTTTCAGAGTCATCACCAAGTCTAAAAACACGGAAATAACGTAAAGTGAAAGAGCTTACGCACCAAAACTCTTGGAACGTATATACCTTGAGTATGAACATATGGAGGGAGTTATGCGACTTTACATTTGGTCATAACTTCTAATGGGAGTACAGACGCTGTATTTTCCTTTATTTATTTTATGCGCAGGACGTCCAGTCACTTTCATGTGGCATTTGCCTACCTGGTTAGCTCCCAGTGTAGTTTATCTCAATTTATTTGGGGCAGGGATTTGGTGGGAAACCCGTTCGATGCGTAATCAAATTTAAAAACCAATTTATTTATTTATTGGTTGGTCGTTTGGTATGTTGTATGCTTGTAACAGGTGCAACAAGGTAAGTTGTGTGTTAATAGGATGAAAGCATGTTAATGTATATTGTTTACGCTTATGTACTCAGTTTTGCAGATTGTGTGTTTGTATGTTTGTTTTGCCTTGTCTTTATCATGGCCCTACGACGACCCATTTCTAATGGCGAGTAGTGAGGACAAAGTAAAGAGAAGTTTTTCAGGTGATGAAGCATATTCATGATGGGCATGAGTGAAGAGCGAATCATGCTTACTTTTTATAAGAATATGTTGTGGTTTATTGTTTTGATTATCATATATTTTGCTTGTGAGACTAACACAAGGTTTTTAGAATTTGTTTTGGGTTTTGATAAGGGCCTATAATGGTTCCAAGTTGTAGGTTGACTTCGTTTGACTTTGGTTTGGCTTTTACTTTCGTTTGGTTTGACTTTTATAAGTTAGATTGTTTTGAATGATTTTTAAAGTGAGTCTTCCGTTGCGAGTCTTTGATAATTTCCTTAGCCGTTTTCACGGTGGCAGTAATGTCTTAGAATTTCCTATTTCGTATTAAAAAAGAGCAAAACAGGTATTTTAAAGGAAAGGAATTTCTAGGGTGTTACAAAGTGGTATCAAAGCTTTGGTTGAGATTTTTATTACCACTAAAGCCAAAAACGTGTTTTAAAGTATTTTTGTTTCAAACTTGGCCAAGTGTTTATTTAATCAAGTAATTTTAAAAGTGAGTTATTTTATTTTATAAAGAGGACCGAAAACAAAAATTAAAAGGGTTCGAAACTTTTTTTGGGAACATTCGAATTTATTTTTTAATTAGGTTGTTCGAATTTTTTTTTATGATGGCCAAATATTTTGGCCTTTTTCGAAATTTATTTTCCAAATTTTTTTTAAAGAGGCGTCAAAATTATTTTTAGTTTGTTCATTTTCTTTGGGAAGGGAATTATTTTCTAAGTCTCTTCCTTTATAGGATGCCGATCTTTCCTAGCAAACACTCTCAAATTGGTACTCTAATTAAGAAAGAATATGCACTTCCTTTTAACTATGTTAAGAAAATTCGTTTCTACTGTTCTCATATGAGCGATGTCCTAGGAGACAAGCATTATGACCTCCCTGATCGTGTTTCAGCTATGATAATTCATTGCCTTCCTGACGAACCACCATATTTTGCCGTCAAAGAAAAATTTGTTGATTTCTATTTGCCCGGGACATTCCCAACTATTCCAAATACAAATATTATTATGGACAGCGGTGCCCTGACTACAGATACTTGATTTCTTATCTCGTTTGAGTCGAAAAGTATCACTGCGAGCGTTTACATATTCCATATCCAAATTATTACTATGATAACCCAGCAGGGAACAATTCCCCTTCCACTAGCAATCAATCAGGAAATTCTTCTCCACCACAGGGTTATCAAGCAGGAGCGAATGGAGGGTAAGAGGAAGGAGAGCTAATGGATGAGAGTAACCATATTGTTGATAGTTCCATTATGGAAATTCCAAATCTAAATTCACCCCTAACTCCAATTATAATTGACATTTCATCTGACGATGAGGAAGATGAAGAGTTCATTCAAGTAGAGCAAAATCCAGAGACACCTGAACCAATGGAGGAGGAAGATGACCCTGAATTCGATCCCGGAAGCTACAAACAATCGAAGGAAAAGAAGGACAATGTTCGAAAGGAGTAGATTTTGTAGTTTCATTTCCTTTAGGATTCTTAGTTTCATTTCCGCAGTTTTAATTATTTCCTTTGTTAGTAAAGTAATAAGTGGCATGGCCACAGTGAGTATATAAACCTATTGAGTTGTGTAGGTTATTCGAACTCATTTCATTTTATCTTTCTATTCACTTTCTTACTCAGCAATAAAAAATTTATTCATTTCCTTGCCCAATAATTCATTTTACTGCCAAATAATTCATTTCATTTCCAAATCATTCATTTCATATCACTATTCCAATGAGCCATTTCTTACTCAAATATTCCAATAATTCATTTCTAAACTCTGGGAAATCATGGGAATTATTTTTATTTATTGATGTGATGCTTTATTAAATGTATGGTTGGTTAGCAATCAAAATTTGGTTGATCAAGCTGCAATTTTGGGAATTGTAATTTTGCAATCTCAATTTGCTAGCTTAAAATTAAATGTGTGTGTATAAAAGGTATAACTTAATTAGATGGGTGCGTAACTTGAGAGCTAACCATGACCATAATTAATAAAAACCCCTTGTTTTAATTCAAGCGAAGAAAGATGGCAGGAGGAAGTAGGAGCAATAATGAAGGGAATGAGCCGAGTGAGGTTGTAAGGCAGTTAGTAGTGGTTGCCTAGAAATTAGCAAGAAACTCGACCAACAATGGGGATGCTCAAGGAGAGCTGTTTAAGAAGGTGGCGCAAAGCAAGCCACCAACCTATCAAGGCGAACTTGATCCAACAGTGATGGAAAATTGGTTAAGGGAATTTGAGAAACTGTTTGGGCAGTAGGATGCCCAGAAAATTCGAAAGTAGGTTGTGCTACCTATTACCTCAGAGGTGAAGCTGACCTTTGGTGGCAACAAAATGAGGCTACCATTAAAGCACTACCTGGGTTCAACTGGACTATGTTTTAGGAGAAGGTAAGGGACAAGTTTTACCCCAGTTTCCTACGGAAACATAAAGCTGAGGAATTTTTCTTACTTAGTAATGGGAGATATGTCAGTCACTAAGTACTATACCAAGTTTATTGAGCTGTCACGATTTGCCAAAGAGTCTGTTGCTACAGAAAAGGCAAAGGCTAGGAAGCTTTGAGAGTGGATTGACCATTGATTTGCAGCTAAAGCTGTGTGAACAAGTGTTCGAAACCTTGGATGAAGTGTATGGGAGGTCTGCACACCTTTATGCGTTGGAGTTGAAGAAAAAGAAAGAGTTAGCGGAGGTGGAAAGGAAGGAAAAGAGAAAAGAGATGGGGCAAAACTTTGGAAACCCGCAAGGTAACCAGGACAATTTCAAGAAGCAGAAGTACCACCATAACAACAACACACTAGTAGAAAAATTGAATTTCGCACCGCACTTTTCGCACCGGTTCTTGAAAACCGGTGGGAAAAGAAATGGGCGGAATTTGAAAAAATACTTTTCCCACCGCCGGTGGGAAAAATGAGTTTTTCAAACCGCTGCGAATTCTCTTTAAAAAACGAAATACAGTATCTTCTTTCTTTCTCCTTCCTCGAAATCTCCTCTCTCTCACCTACCTTAGCTTCTCTCTCCTCCTTCATTCTTCTTCATCTTCTGGGTTTATGTTCGAATTTTCTGGGGGGTTTGCGATTTTGAGCAGCCGCGAATTTCCCGGTCACCGTCATCCTCACCGGAGCTGCTTCGATGTTCTCATGACCCACTGTCACCCTCATGCTTCACCTGCTCTTCACGGCTCCACCACTATCGTCACTCTTCGCCGTCGCATTCGTCTCCGCTCCTCCAGATCTGGTCTAAGTAATCTCTCGTTCTTTATATTAAAGATTCAATTTGAATTGAGCAAGTTTGAAATTCTAGGGTTAATTTGATGAAGACAATTGTGTTATTTATAGTTATTACATTTTAATGTTGATTATTGTTCATAACAATCGTGCTATCTTACGATTACTCGTGTACGATTTGCTCCAGAATCCAACAATCTTCTCATTTCATCTTGGGATTCTGTAAGTTACTATTATTTGCTTCTTCATAAATTTTTATTCACAATTTTCTTTTGAATTTAACTCAATTTAATTAATTTTTTCTTCAATATTTTTAGAGTATTAGGTTGGTGGATGTGGAAAGCAGTAAGCTTAGATTAGAAGTTCAAACAGAAGCTGCAGTACTTGATTGCTGTTTTCAGAATGAGTTTGTTGCTTTCTCTGCTACTTCTGATGGATCCATTTTCAGGTAGTTTTTTTCCCTGAAAATTTGGTTTTTTGTTGAAATTTGGGCTTAATATTATTCAAGGGTTGCTTAATGAAATTGTAATTATTATCCAATTTATTACCCACCATGGGAGCAGTCGAAATTTACCTAAAAAAGTAAGAAAGAATGAAAATTGAAGGAAGACAATGAGAAAGGAAGAGAATGTAGGAGAGATAAGGAGGAACTTAAGGTGGAATTGTGCTCTTAGTATCCCTATGGTTTACAGCCAGTTGTACCCTTTTGAAGGTCTGTTGAATTATACTTCAGGAATCATTCATCATGTTAGACTTGAAGGTATGAAACTATGAATTCAACTATTTATTTTAATTTGCTTGAGTTGTTTGTAATTTTGATTAGTTTTTATCAATTTGTTTATGTGGTTGTCCTTTTGATGAATCTTTGAATTTGTTTTTAAATGAATTTGGTGCATAAAATCTACTTTTTTTTTGTGTAGTAGTAATTAATGATTATCTGTCTTGGTTTATCCAGCTGATAGATTTTGAAAGTTAAAGTTTCTGATTTTTATGGGTTACTGGTAAAATAGACCTACTCTTTTGAGGGATGGTTTTACTCTAGAAATATGATGTATTGTTCAATGAGGTTATGAAGTTCCATCTTCTCTGATTTCCTGGTCTTTAGCTGAATATTAATGTCAGTAACAACTAAAGCTTGTGAAATATCAAAATGTATCTGTTGAATAACATAATTAGTCAAGTTCATGTGTTTGTAATAGAATATTATTCCATGTCCTTGCAATTCGCAGGATATAATTCCCCTTTTGTCTTGCACCAATTCACCTAATCATATTTACATATTTAATAGCAGTTTCTTTTTTATATCGTTGGTGTTATCATACGTGTTCTCATATTTTATTTTTGTAATTATATGCTTAAGGCAATAAGGCCTCTGAGCCGTCAAAAGGAATCCTTTACTTCTCTTAATGCTTAATTACTTCTACATTACAGTAGTCTTTAGGTATGTGTTTAATGGCCTACAGTGGCTCCATCAATCATTTCGAACTAAGTAGTAACTCACAGCAAAAGTGTCGTTTAAGTATTAATGAAGTCAACTGCAACTTGCTGCATTATTATTGAGTATATAGATAGGTCCTGTGTCTTTTAAACTATTAGGGACTCTGTCAGATTGAAGTCTGTGAGTCAGATATGGATCAAGATTTTGAATACTTGTCAAGAACATGGCAAGGTAGATAGAGAGTCTGTGAAATGGAGGTATGGGGAGGAGTTTAACAGCACATTTATACCCCAACTACAATGCCCTAATTTATGGGGAGTTACCAGTTGATATCCTTTTTGTTGTTTTCAACCCCTATTCTGAGCTTGGTACTCCTCTTTCCAATTCATCTTGCAGAAGCCTAATGGGTCCTTGTCAAATTAGGGATGAGTGAGGTTAACATACTAACTAGCTACTTGAGATTTGGTCGGCCAAAACTTTGTCTAAGCTTATCTTGAATGAGCTTGACTGATCATTTCAAGTTCAGCAATGTTAATTTGGTTAGCTGGAGTTGAAAAGTTTGTGAGCAAGCCTGAGTATAAGAATTTAGTACTGCCAAAACAGGTTATCCTTGCTACATCCTTTCCCTTAGTCTTATTCATACATCAAGACATGTTATACACACATTCATGTGCTAAGGGCTGAGTCAGCTGAAATGAATTTGGAACCTCTGATTGATTTGCAGGTCAATCCTTCGAACCTTTTCCCACGATGACATCAGTGAAAGTAGATAATTAAGTAGGAGTGGTCATGTGAAAATGGACAATTTATCTTTCTATAAAGCTACTTTTTTCTGTCGAAAGCTAATAGCTTCTGATAAAAGCTATACCTCTGACCTCTGTAATTTATCACTACCTCCACCACTACATTGCCATACACTTAAACCACTAAAGACTTCTCCAAAGCTTGTGCCGAAGACACCCTTAATATGTTTTAAGAAGTTCAATTATTTTTTTTTTATTTATAATATATGGATCAAATTTGATTTTTGATCCATGTTTCTATGCTAATGAGCATGATGATTGACATAATTGGAAGAGGATTTTGTTTTTCCATTTTCTAAAGAGTCCTTGCAAAGTGAAGGGTTTGTTTGACCTAAGTCTTTGAATTGTTTCAGGTGTTGTATGTGCAGCTGGTTGACTTTACATGGCAAGCATTAAGTATCTACACACAGGAATTGCTGTTTTTACTAATTGTTTGGGTAGCTGGGTGGCCTGGTCTGGCTTTGGCTCATGGCTGCTGCTGGTTCCCTGCTGCTACTGGTTTTGGTTTTAGTGTTGAACTGGGAATGCTTCAGGTAATTCTTTGCAAACCTTTCGATTTTTTTTAGGGGTAGTGACCTCATGACCTGTTAGGCTGTTAGTTTTCTGAAGGCAACTGAGGAGCAGCAAGGCAGCTGCATAATTTGGTCACCATCATTTATAAATACTATATGGGATCAGAGGCTTCTGGAAATCCAGAATCTCAATTATCCTTAAATACTTCTACAATCATAATAGTCTGGCTATCTCGTAAAGTGGTCCCTGCTATAACATTTTAGAAGTAATGTTCTTCAAAGACTTTAAATTCTATATATTATTTTTTTAGTTTAAAGTCCTTAACTTTAAATGTTCATCTAATTGAACCTGTAATCAAAGGAGGACCACAAGCTCGGGGCTCAATAAATGAAAATTTTTTCCCAGAAAAATTGGTGCTTTAGGTGCAGTAAGGACTTAGGACACCTAATTCATAATTCTCCAAGGTAGATCAACCAATCTAGACAGTTTAGGATCTAACATGTCATCAATGGGATTAACGCCGGGTTAGACAGGTGTTGTACTGTGATTATGGTTTATAATCACTCTGATAGTTGATGAAGAAAAATAATGCAAACTCGATAACCTTAGTTCACTTCGATGGATACTTTTGTCTTATCACTTTGTATAATGACTTTGAGCTTGAATTTATCAGGGTGTCTCAGCAATTGGAGCTTTCTATGAGCTCCTAAGTCAATCCTCTCTGAACGTATCTCGGCATGGAGAACGCAAGCTAGTCGCTCCTGTTGAGTTATGCCCGATCTTAAAGACACTATACAAGATACTCATAAAAAGGTGATATATACACCTGCCAGATTAATTAGCTAATTTTGCAAGATACATATTACTGATGTTTAGTTTGTCAATTGCCTGCTGTGATAATTTACAGGGAACAATCTTCAGAAGACATTCTCCAAACACTGAGGGATGAGACATGAATGATCCCCGGGATCGAATCGAAATTGCTCAATCACATGCTTTCTACATGCCTTCACTCCGCTGAGTTGCCGTGTGTGTTCAGGAAGCTATAACCTTGTATTTTATTTTGATTTATATTTTATTTTTTTGGACAAAAATTGTAATATTACAACCTATTTTAATGAAAATATGTAACTTTATATATATGTTAGTGTTTATATATCAATTTAAGTGAAAAAAATGAAATTTTTTTTTTATTTTTTAATTTTTTTTTTTGGGCATTTTTGGCACCGGTTTTGGAATAGAACCGGTGCTAAAAGTTTTTTTTTAATTTTTTTTTGACGCTTTTAGCACCGGTTCAAAGCAAGAACCGGTGCTAAAAGTGTGGTTTTTCGCACTGGTTCACACCCAGAACCGGTGCGAAAAGTCATTTTTCCCACCGGTTTTGAACCGGTGCGAAATCTATGGGGTTTTAGCACCCCCCAAATCCGGCCCGGTTCAAAACCGGTGCGAAAAAGGGGGTTTGAACCGGTGGGGAATTCGTATTTTCGCTTAGTGACAACTTCAACAACAACAATAACTTCCAGGGTAACAATCGCCAAGGTGGGCGAAACTTTAATGGAAGAGCTAAGAACTCTAACCAGGGAAATAACAAAGGACCAAGGCATTATTACTGCAAAAGGTGTAGAAATGACCACCCTGGTAGAGACTGCGATGGTAACTTGGTTACTTGTCGCACTTGCAACAAGTTGGGATATAGGGAGTACGAGTGCTTCTCCAAAGATTCTAATCGAAACAAGTAGGGGCAAAATTCAAGGAGGGGTTCTAAGGAACTTTCAGGAGAACAACAACTATTCAGGGAACAAAGGGGCACAACAGAATGGGGTGAAAGGCAACAATAATGGGAATAATCAGGTGAAGAGTGGAACTCTAGAAAACTGAATGTGATCAGTAGGCACGAAGCTGATACTATGAAGGATGTTATTACTGGTACTTTTCTATTAACTCTATTCCTGTTAAAGTTTTGTTTGATTCTGGTGCAACTTTTTCTTTCATTTCAAAAGCCATTGTTTCAAAACTATCACACTGTTTAAAAACCGTAGATGTTATAGATGTACCTATAGTTATTCCTATAGGAGGGGTAGTACAGTGTACCAAAACTTTTAAGGATGTGCCACTAGAAATCGAGGGAAAGATGTTTTTGTCTGACCTCATCGAGTTTGGGTTAAGTGACTTCGATGTCATTTTGGGAATGGATTGGTTGAGCAAGTATAGTGCAGAGATTCGTTGTCTATCGCAGAAAGTACAGATAAGTACAGCTGAGGGTGAGTTGGTAACATATTGGAAGCATGGTGAAACAAAGTGCCCAAGGATCATCTCTATGATGGAAGTTGGCTAAGTATATTAAGAAGGGGCATCCAATATATTTTTGTAGTGTGAGGAATTTAGATCATGAAGAGGCAGCTAAGCTTGAGGACATAGAAGTGGTGAACGAGTTTCTAGATGTGTTCCCAGAAGAGATTCCAGGAATGCCACCTAAGAGAGCAATTGATTTCACAATAGAGTTGGCTCCAGGGACATCACCAATTTCTAAGGCACCATATCGAATGGCACCTGCAGAAATGAGTGAAGTAAAGAAGCAACTACAGGATGTGCTAGAAAAAAGGGTACATTAGACCAGGCGCATTTCCTTGGGGAGCTCCAGTGTTGTTTGTTAAGAAAAAGGATGGGAGTATGAGGTTATGTATTGACTATAGGGAGTTGAATAAGGTCACCATGAAGAACAAGTACCGGTTACCAAGGATTGATGACCTATTTGACCAGTTGAGGGGCGCATCTGTATTTTCCAAAATTGATTTAAGGTCTGGATACCATCAGTTGAGGATCGCAAACGAAGATATTCCCAAGACTACATTTAGAACAAGGTACGAGCATTATGAGTTTACAATAATGCCATTTGGGTTGACGAATGCTTCAGCAATCTTCATGGACTTGATGAATAGGGTGTTCCATCCATTTATGGACAAGTTTGTCGTGGTGTTCATAGATGATATACTGGTGTATTCAAAGAATAAGGAGGAACATGTAGAAAATTTGAGGGCAATTCTACAAACCTTAAGGGAAAACAAGCTTTATGCGAAGTTTTCTAAGTGTGAGTTTTGGTTGGAGAAAGTAGCATTTCTGGGTCACTTTGTGTCCAAGGATGGGGTAGAAGTAGATCCAGCAAAGATTGAGGCAGTAAAAGGATGGCCTACGCCAAAGACGGTGTCTGACATTAGGAGTTTCTTAGGTTTAGCAGGGTATTATAGACGTTTTGTGAAGGACTTTTCTAAAATTGCTAAGCCTATGACCTCTTTAATGAAGAAGGACAAGAAGTTTGAGAAGTGTGAGGAAGCTTTCCAACTCTTAAAGCAAAAGTTGATTACAGCACCAGTGCTTACATTGCTAGATGATAGTGGAATCTACGATGTATATGATGCATCCAAAAATGGTTTAGGATGTGTGCTTATGCAAAATGGAAAGGTGATTGCATATGAATCTAGACAGTTAAAACCTCATGAAGTAAAATACGCTACTCATGACTTAGAATTAGCTGCAATTATTTTTGCGCTAAAGATTTGGAGGCATTATTTGTATGGAGTGAAATGAAGGATTTACACAGACTATAAAAGTTTGAAGTACATTTTCAGCCAAAGAGATCTAAACTCACGCCAAAGGAGATGGTTAGAATTTGCAACGGATTACGACTTGAACATACAATACTATGAAGGGAAAGCAAATGAAGTTGCAGACGCTCTAAGTCGTAAGACCAGTCATGGACTGAACACTTTAATAGTGGCTGATGAGTTATGTAGGGAAATGAGGAAAATGAATTTAGAAGTGGTAGAATGGGGAGTACCAGCAGGTATACTTGCGAATCTAAGCATTCAACCAACAATATTTGATGAGATAAGGGAAAATCAGGCAGGAGATGTTAAGTTGGATAGGATTCGTGATAAAATCAAGCAAGGAAAGGCATCAGATTTCAAAATTCATGAAGATGGAAATTTAAGGTACAAGGGTAGATGGTGTGTACCACAAAAATGTGAGGAAGTAAAGAGAAAATTAATGGAAGAAGGTCACAATACACCATACTCAGTGCACCCTGGAGGGGACAAGCTATACAAAGACTTGAAAAAGATGTATTGGTGGTCCAGAATGAAGAATGAAGTTGCGGAATTTGTAGCAAAGTGTCTAACTTGTCAAAAGGTGAAGATAGAGCACAAGAGACCGCAAGGAACCGTGCAATCATTAGAAATTCCTGGATAAAAGTGGGATTGCATTTCGATGGATTTTGTAACTTGCCTCTGAAAGTCAAAGAGTGGAAATGATACCATTTGGGTCATGGTGGATAGGCTTACTAAATCTGCAATGTTCATACCAATGAAGGAGACCTGAAAAATGGAGCAACTTGCAAAAGCTTACATCAAGAATGTTATGAGGTTACATGGAGTTCCAAAGGATATTGTGTCTGATAGAGATTCTAGGTTTTTTTCAAAGTTCTGGAAGAGTGTGCAGGAAAACTTTGGTACAACACTAAAGATGAATACAGCATTTCACCCTGCCACAGATGAACAAACTAAGAGAACTATTCAAACCTTGGAAGATATGTTGAGAGCTTGTGTCATAGACCTCCAAGGGGGATGGTAAGATAACTTGGAATTGAATTTTCATATAACAATAGTTACCATGCAAGTATTGGCATGGCTCCATTTGAGGCATTAAATGGAAGGAAGTGTTGCAGTCCTGTATGTTGGAACGACATAAGTGAAACAATGATCTTAAGGCCTCAAATGATTGAAGATATAGTTAAGCAGGTAAAAGAGATTCAAGCTAAGATTCAAGCAGCACAAGATCGTCAAAAGAGTTATGCAGATTTGAAGCGTAGGGAAGAAGAGTTTGAAGTTGGTGACAAAGTATTATTGAAAGTATCACCAATGAAAGGTGTCATGAGATTTGGGAAAAAAGGAAAACTTAGCCCAAATTATATTGGTCCATATGAGATATTACAGAGAATAGGCAAAGTAGCTTATAGGTTGGCCTTACCTATGGAACTAAGTAAAGTGCATGATGTATTTCATGTGTCTTAGTTAAAAATATATACATGATAAGTCACATGTGCTACAACCTTAAACAATTGAGTTAGATCAAAGCTTAACTTATAAGGAGAGACCTGTCAAGATCCTTGACAGTAAAGTGCGTAGTACACGCAATAAGGAAGTTAAGATTGTTAAAGTGCTATGGTCTAACCAAGAATATGAGGAAGCAACTTGGGAAGGCGAGGATGAGATGAAAAAAAAATACCCTGAGTTGTTTGAGGTATGTTGAGTTACGGGGATGTAACTCATTTTCTTTAAGGAGGGTAGAATGCGGTAGAATTTCGCGCTTTTTCCCTCTATTTTCAGTTATTTTAGTGCTTTTTGCACATTTTTAACGGTTATTTTGAGTACTTTTGATTTCAATGAGGCATTAAAGGTAAAAGTATGTCAAAAGAGTACAGCAATATTATACAAAGTGAGGAAAAAGTTTGATTTTTGTTACCTAAGTTTCGGGACGAAACTTCTTTTAAGGGGGTAGATTGTAATACCTTGTATTTTTACATGTATTTTAATTTAAATCATTATTTTATGGAGCATTTAAATAATTTGAAATGAATTATTTATGGTATTTTATTAATTTAAAAAGGTTTATTTTAATTAAAGGTCCATTTTTATTAATTTAATTGCTTTGAAAATATTTTATTTTATTATTTGAAACTTTGGGGCATATTATTTTATAAAAGGAAGTTTTAAAGTCATTGGAATTTTAAGGAAGTCAAATGACTAGTTTGAATAGGATAAAGGATCATTAAGGGTGGAAAGGGAAATTAAGGTTAGGAGGGTTTTGAGAAGGGGTATGAATACCCATCTTATGAGCAAGTTAGATCTTGCCTAAGGTGGAGAATACCCAAAGGTAAACTCTCTCTCTCTCTCTCTCTCTCTCTCTCTCTCTCTCTCTATCTCCTCTTATTTTCTCTCCCTTAATTTTTCCCCTTCCCCTTTATTTTACACATCACACGCACACACACATAGTAGCCGGCCGCCACTACCACTTCCCACCGGCCGGCCACCGCCGCCAGCAACAGCCAACAGCAGCAGTCGCCGGCGTGGAGGGCGGTAGCAGCCCCATCCCGTCGTGCGGCTGTGTGTGTTTATAAAAAAAAAAAAAAAAAACTCTTCTTTGTTTTAAATTTAATCTAGCCTTGATTTAATTATTATTTTTAGGTTGTGTGATGATTTTCATGATGTTTGATTATGATTATTATGTATATAATTCCTAGATTTAGTTTTTGAATTAAAAAGCCCCAAATTGAAAACCCTAGGTTTCTAAATTAATGTATATTGATGGAAATTGATTGTAGTTGGTTGGAATTATTGAAATAGGTGTCTTTAAACATAATTACAGCAATTATACTTTTTTTATAAAGCTGGAATTTTTATATAAAGGTTATAATTATGTTTCTTGAAATGATTTTTAATTACCCATTAATTGGAATAAAAGTAGGGGTTTTAAATTAATTTTCAGCTTGTTTTAGAGGGTTTATAAGTGATTTAAAGAGTGTATATATTGTTGGAAATTTATATTGAATAGGTATTAATATCTCTTTGTAATTTTGGGCTGTAGGAGATTTTCAAGTGAGTGATTTCGTGTAGTCGTGACGATTTTGAGATCATATTCTAGGTACATTCGCGTATTCGGTAATTATTTAAGTGTATAGAAGCATGCTAGGCTTTATTTAATTAATTCCGAGGTAGTATCATGATAGGTATTGGTTGGAATTGTTGATTGGATTGATGTTACTGATTGATTTGTGAAGTATGAATTATTTGTGGTGAATTGATGATTGGAATTAATTATGTTGGCATGTTGAATATGAAACACACTTTTATTATTGGCATGATTGGGAGCATGTTTAATTTGGTTTGGAATATAAAAAGGGAATTTTATGATGGTTCATATAATTTTATTGATGATTTAAGCATGGGAAATAAGCTATTAAGCGTCTTAGTACATAGGAATGAAATGTATTGTGCCTAAGTGCACTTAAGGTGTTCTAAACACCGAGGGATAGGATTTGCGGTGTTTTATGCGCTTAAGGTGTTATTTAACGCCGAGGTAGTTTAAAAAGGGTTCAACATTAAATTTATGTGGTCGCTAATTATTCAAGAATTAAATTGGTGTGTTTGATTGCTTGAATAATTTATTATGATTGATTGTATTATGGTTTGAGAGTCATCACCAAGTCTAAAAACACGAAAATAACGTAAAGTGAAAGAGCTTACGCACCAAAACTCTTGGAACGTATATACCTTGAGTATGAACATATGGGGGGAGTTATGCGACTTTATATTTGGTCATAACTTCTAATGGGTGTACAGAACACTGTATTTTCCTTTATTTATTTTATACGCAGGACGTCCAGTCACTTTCATGTGGCATTTGCCTACCTGGTTAGCTCCCGGTGTAGTTTATCTCAATTTATTTGGGGTAGGGATTTGGTGGGAAACCCGTTAGATGCTTGTAACAGGTGCAATAAGGTAAGTTGTGTGTTAATAGGATGAAAGCATGTTAATGTATACTGTTTACGCTTATGTAC